CTGCTCTACTGCCCCACTGTGAAGGCACAATGTGGTAGAAGAGACGCTACCTGACTTTCAAGGCGTGGTCAGGAAAAGAGGCAACTTTCTGGCTGGGGGTGTGGCTCAGTGGGACAGTGCTTGCCTAACATGTGCAAGGCCCTGGGTTCAAGCCCCCGCACTGGGGCATGGGAGAATGGGAGATTCAGTTTCCACGAGGCTCTCCCCGTCTTGAACAGAATGCTCTGGGGAGGACAGCTGCCATGCTGGGAGGCCACTCAGGCAGTCTCCGTGGGGTGGAACTGAAGAGTGGCCTTACCAGTCAGCACCCACCAGCCAGCTACAGTGTGAACCATCTTGGAAACAGGTCTGCCAGCCCCAGTCAAACCCTCTTGGAATTGAAGCTCCAGCCAATGTCTAGACTGTAGCCTTGTGAGAGACCCTGAACCCCAACAGCCCAGCAGAGTCATTCGTGGAATCCTGGTCCATAAATACTGGATGAAATAGTAAGTGTCTAGTATTCTAAGCTGCTACACTTGGGGCAATTTGTAACACTGCAATAAAAAATTAATACAATCGGTAACAAATGTCCCATGCTTCCACCCCAGGACCCTTGCACATGCTGTTCCCTCTGCCTGGAACTCTCTTTCCCCAGATATCCACTTAGTTCCCTCCCTTAGCTCCAACAGGTCTCTCCTCAGATATCACTTCCTGTGCCTTCCCTGATCCTTTTTACCCATATTCTTACCCCAGCTCATTTTTCATCAGATCATTTACAAACTGTGTTCTATTATATTACTATGGGAGCAGAGGTATTCGGGATTGAACACAGGGGCGATCTACTGAGCTACATCCCTGGCAATATTTATTTTTTATTTGGAAATAGCATCTTACTAAGTTGCCAAAGGTAGCCTCAAACTTGCAATCCTCCTGTCTCAGCCTCCCAAGTAGCTGGGATTACAGGCATGTGCCACAGTACCTGGCACATATTCATTTCTTTTCTGTCTCCCCCCACTACAGCGCCAGTTCCACAAAGACAGGGGTATAGTGCCTGACACACAGTAAGCACTCTATACGGGGGCCACCATTATTAGAATCTTGCAGACCTGATGTGCGTTAGGACTGGAGCAGCTTCCACTAAGTAGACTTAATGCCTTCCACAGCGGGCACTCGGCAGAGCTAAGAGCTCCCCCGGCAAACAGACCAGCCACTGGCAACTCTAATGGGACAGCCCCTTCAGACTTCCCCACTGCTGCCACAAAAATCTCAGTTCCTTGATACAGTCTCTAACCCCTGTCCTGCCTGAACTTCCACCATCCAGCTACAAAGAACCAAGAACTGCTTTCGGTAATATCACCTTCTCCAGAGTGGGGACACACAGCCCAGGCGGTTAGGGGGTTCAACTAAAAAACATATGAACATCTGGATTTTTATTTAATTTATTTATTGTTACTGGGAATTAAAGCCAGGGGTGTTTAACCACTTGGCCACATCTCCACCCCTCTTTATTTTGTATTTTGAGTTAGGGTCTCACTAAATTGCTTAGAGTCTCACTAAGTTGCTGAGGCTGGCCTTGAACTTGCAATCCTCCTGCCTCAGCCTCTCCACTTGCTGGGATTACAGGCGCGCACCATCACACTTGGCAACATTGTATTTTTAATGGCTATTTTCATTTTTTAAAGAATATATCTTGGGACTGGGGTCGTGGCTCAGTGGTAAGCAATTGCCTCGCACATCTGGGGCCCTGGGTTCGATCCTCAGCCCCACATATAAATAATTTAAAAAATAAAGGTATTGTGCCCATCTACAACTACAAAAAAAATTTTAAAAAAAAGGAATATATGTTTAGTCAGGTGCACTGATGCATGCCTGTAAAGTGGCACATGCCTGTAATCCCAACACCCAGGAGGCTGGGGCAGAAGGTTCACATGTTCAAGGCCAGCCTGGGCAACTTAGTGAGACCCTGTCTCAAAGTAAAAAAAGAATTATTAAAAAAGGGCTGAAGGGTCCTGGGGTTGTGGCTCAGTGGTAGACTGCTCACCTAGCATGCACTAGGCACTGGGTTCAATCCTTGGCACCACATAAATGAAAAATAAAGATGATGTATCCACCTAAAACTTAAGAATAAATATAAAAAATTAAAAATAAGAAAGGGCTAAGGGGATATCTCAGTGGTAGAGCACCCCTGGGTTTATTCTCCAGTTCGGCAAAAAAATAAAAGTATTGATGTGATAAATATACTATTATACAATAATAATCTGTAAGATTTATTAGTATAATTACATTTTTTGTTGTACCGGGGATTGAACCCAAAGGTACTTAAAGCTAGAGGTACTTAATTACATTCCGGTCCTTTTTATTTTTTTGAGACAGAGTCTCAGGGCTTCTTCACTAAGTTGCTGAGGCTGGCTTTGAACTTGAGATTCTCCTGCCTCAGCCTCCCAAGCCACTGGGATTACAGGAGAGCACCACTGTGTCTGGCTACTTTCTCATTTTTGTAGCGCTGGGGATCAAACCCTGGGCTTCAGGCACACCAGGCAAGCACCCTTACACTGAGCTAGATCCCCAACCCACTAGTATAATTGTATTTGTATTTAATTTGTTCATTCAGTTTTAAATGGGTTTTTGTTTTATTTTTATTTTTTAATATTTACTTATTTATGTATTTTTCTTTTTTAGTTTTTTAGGTGGACACATTATTTTGTTTTTATTTTTATTTTATTTTTTAAGAGCGAAAGAGAGAATTTTTTAATATTTATTTTTTAGTTTTCGGCAGACACAACATCTTTGTTTGTATGTGGTGCTGAGGATTGAACCCAGGCCGCACGCATGCCAGGCGAGCCCGCTACCACTTGAGCCACATCCCCAGCCCTATATTGTTTGTATGTGGTGCTGAGGATCAAACCCAGTGCCTCATGCATGCTAGGCGAGAGCTCTACCCCTGAGCCACAACTCCAGCCCTTTATTTTTGATTGACATAATTATATAAATTTGTGGGCTACAATGTAATGTTTTGATACATGGATACATTGTATAAAGATCACAGATCACATGAGAATAATTAGCCTATCCACACTTTAAACATTTACCATTTCTTTGCAGTAAGACTTTTTTTTTTTTTTGTACTGGGGATTGAACCCAGGGGTGCTTTACTATTTAGCCACGTCCCAGCCCTTTTTTATTTTGAGACAAGTTCTCCCTGAGTTGCTTAGGGCCTCACTACGTTGCTGAGGCTGTTCTCAAACTTGCAATCCTCCTGCCTCAGCCTCCTAAACTGCTGGGATTACAGACAAGGGCCGGCCACTGTGCCTGGCTCCTTCTAGCTGTTTTTCAATGTACACAGTCGCCCTACCGTCAACAGAACTTCGGTGTTCCTTTCTAAATATAACGTTGCACTCTGACCGACCTCTCCCACTGCCTCTGGAAACCAGTTCTACTCTCAACTTCTACGAAATCGACTTTTTAAAGTTCCACCTAGGAGAGGGATCACCTGGTATTTGTCTTCGGACCAGGCTTATTTCACTGAACGCGCTGACCTCTGGCCTCCTCCCTGTTGGCGCAGATGACAGGGTTTTCTTCTTCGCTGGCTCAGTGATATCCGCTGTGTGTGCGCTAGGTTTCCTTGTCCACCCATCTGATGCTTCCACACCTTGTGACTGTGCACGGCTCTGCGGTAAATACCCGAGTAAAGCGGTCTCTTCAACTCGCTGCTTTCCTTTCCTTTAGATACAAATACCCAGCAGTGCGATTGATGGACCCTAGGATAATCCATTTAAAAATGTTTTAGGAACTTCTACCCCATTGTCCATATTGACTGTAGTATCTGAATATAATTCACAAATGAATGTCCATCTTGGGATGAGGCTTCAACCTCTGTACAAAAGGGCTGGAAAACTGAAAAAGCATTTTAGGATTGGTTTTTCCAAGGCAACTTTGCCCCCCAGGGACCGTGGCAATGTCTGGAGTCCAGTTTGATTGGGCGACTGGAGAGGGCTGTCCCTGGCACCTCGTGGGTGGAGGTCAGGGATGCTGCCCCGCACCCTACAGAGCCCAGGACAGCCCACAAGGCGGTTCCCTCCTCGACGGCACGTGCCAGCTGAGACCCTGCCCCAAATACCACTGTCTTATTTCCTTCTCCCCTCTATTCTTCGCCTAGCTAAAACCTTAAACTTCAGGGCTTCTGTACAAATTGTCCCCTTCTCCATGAAGCCATGGCTGGTGTCCTCAGGCTTGACAAGAGCCCATCTAAGGGCTCCCCAGCCCACTGCGTTAGAATAGTCCTGGACCATGGGACTGTCAACCTCCCGACTTACAGTGTGGATTCCCTGGCGCCACGAGGCAGCGGATTCTGCCTGGCTGTTAGGGGCCAGGAATCTGTATTCTTCTTAACCACCCTCATCGTCTGCCCCTACCGCGGTCCCACCGTGGGTGGCCCAGTGACCAGGGGAGTGTCTACGGTGTGGCAGGCGCCATTAAGTTTCCTGCCGGGGAATCCCGGCACACACTCTGCTCCAGGAGGTAGGCTTTCCTGTCGTGCCCATTTTACAGAGAAGTAAACTGAGCTTCAAAGAAATGATGGTGGCCAGGTGAAAGACTCAGAGCAAGAAAAGGGGCCAGGTGCTAACCGAAGCCTGATTCCCGGGAGAGCGAGAGCGCGAGCGCGGGGCGCAGGGTGACGAACTGGGGAGCGCGCTCGGAGGTGGGGGCCGCGGGGACCAGCCGCGGCCTTCGGATGCGGCCCCGCCCCCACGAGGGACGTGAAGACGCGGACCCCGCGCAGCGTGGGGACATGTGACCGACTGCAGAGGCCGCGCCGCCTCCCCCGCCCGAGGGGTGCGCGCTCCGCCGCAGGGCGCAGACCCCGGGCGCCAGGCTGGGTTCGGGGCGCCAGAGCAGAGGCGGAGCCGAGGCGGAGCCAGCGCGCCCCGTCCCCCAAGAATCGAAAGCGAAAGAGGGGCCGGGGAGGAAGGGCGGAGCCGCCTCGAGGCACCGCCCCCTGCCCTGCGCGGCTGCCGGACCGACGGGCGCGCCCAGGTAGGGGGCGGCCGCGCCGCGCAGTGCGGACCCTCGCGGAGACCTGCGCCACCGCCGCCGCCGCCACCATGTCTCAGGAAGGGGTAGAGGTAGGAGATGGCTTCGGCTGGGCCGGGGTCGCGACCGACGCCGAGGGGGCTTCGCAGTTCCGGGGGACTCCATCCGGAGTCAGCCTCCCCTCTGTGACGTTAGGCCCCCTCGGAGCAGAGAGCGACTCCCACGTCCCCCAGAGCGAAGCGCGGCCTCCCCGAGGGAAAGCGGGGGCTGCAGGGTCAGGGGTCAGGGACCAGGGGTTGTCTGGCCGTCCCCCGCCCCGTCCCCTAGGCCGGGCCGCGCGCTCCAGCCCGCACCCTCCCCCAGCGCCCCGCGAGGACTTTGGCTTTTTCCAGGAAATGCCTTAAAGGGATGCGGGGGGAGCGGAGGCCAAAACCAAGGGTCAAGTTCAGGCTCGAAGAAAGATACCCAGAGATGGGGGAGGGCCGTCGTTCCTCTCCTTCCCCTACCCGAGGCCCCTGTCCCCATCACAGCTGGAGAAGAGCGTCCGGCGCCTCCGGGAGAAGTTTCATGGGAAGGTGTCCAACAAGAAGGCAGGGGCGCTTATGAGGAAATTCGGCAGCGACCACACCGGAGTGGGACGCTCCATCGTGTACGGTGAGCGGCCGGGCCCTGGAGTTGGCGCTGGGACCACATGGTCTAGGGAGACCCTCTCCCCGGAGGTCCCAGCCTTGGGGAGACCGCGGGACCTGGAACTCCAACAGACCCCTCAAGGGCCCTTCCTTCCCTGACTCTCCCATCAGGGGTAAAGCAGAGAGATGGACAGGAACTGAGTAACGACCTGGATGCCCAGGTAACCTGCCCCCTCGCCCCAAGGACTGGGTAACCCGAAGGAGAGAGAGGGGACCCGACCCGACCGTGGTGACCCACTCTGGAGCAAGAGGGCCTGGCCACAGATGGTCCTCCACTCATCAACCGACCTCACGCACTTTTTCCTCTCAATCCGTTTCTGGCCGCGGCTTGAAACAGGCCGTGCAACAAGCCAGGCTGGAGAGGCCTCCAGGTCAGGGAAGGCTGCCTGGGGCTGGGGCTGCCAAGACTTCACGATAGGGAGAAGGAAGCCCCAGAAAAGGAAGCGGAGGGAAGAGGAAGACAAAGATCTTCCAGGAGGAGGGAAGTCAGAAAGGGTACTGGCCCCAGAAGAAGGAGGGTTAGGAGCTGGGGAGGAGGGAGGAGGGAACCCGTGTGTGCAAGGAAGGAATGAATGGCTTTGATGCACCTGCCTCGTAAGACAGCTTTGGTGGCTGATAGTCTGAATGTCCCTGATGGAAAGGCCAATCACAGAGTTATTAAAGAGTATAATAAAGTATGTTGTCTCTTTATATACATAGAGCATAGGATTACAAAAATAATAGCAATACATTGACTGAGCATTTCCCTTGTGGCAGGACTCCAGGAACTGACTTTTTTGTGGCAACAGTGACCCCATTAGACAGGTCCTAATATGCATCACCCCATTTTACAGACAAGGAAAGTAAGGCCCAGCATGATGACATCATTGTCCAGGTTCATGCAGCAAGCAGGTGCTAGCTGGGATTTGAACCCTGGCCACCTGGAATCAGAGCCTGGCTCTGAGATGCCCCTCAATAACAACCCCAGGGACAAGTACCTTGCCCTACTTTCCCCAGTTGGAAGGGACAGAGCCGGGATTCCAACCTGCCTCTGTCTGAATCCACGTCCCCAACACTTAGCCTAAGGCAGTGTGGCCTCAGTGTGGACAGCGTGTGGTGAGTCTTCAGGCAGGAAGAGGGCATTGGGTCCAGGCTCCGCCAGCCGTGCTCACTTGGGGTACTCTCAGACTCTCGGCCTCAGTTTCCCTATCTGAGCAGTGGGAACACCAGGTCGCCCTCCTCCCAGGGCTGTTATCTGGATACCTGAGGCCACCCTGGTGGTTCTCAGTAAGTGAGGCATGGCTCAGTCAGCTCCTGGGACTTAGGGGCACCCTATTCTCAAAGGGAGCCAGAGCCACCTCTCCCCATCCGGGAGCCACCATGCAGGGACCCCTCCCCCAACAAACAAGGGTACAAAGAGGCCCGAGCGCCTTGCCCAGTTTCTGCCCCAGTGTCTCCATCTAGGACCCACCAGAGGACATGAAGCAGGATCGGGATATCCAGGTGTGTTGGTGGCTGGGACAAGGCCAGGTGTGGGATGAGGGAGGAAAGGCAGAGAGGACATCTGTCTATCTGTTCGTCCATCCATCCATCCATCCATGGCAGACAGCACAGGGGCAGGACCGGGACGCATTTGTAGGGAGAAGAGGGCTGACATTTATGGTTGTGGAGGAGGGTGACCCCCCCTTCTCGTCCCCACCAACCCCATTCCACAGGCGGTGGCCACCTCCCTCCTGCCATTGACGCAGGCCAACCTGCGCATGTTCCAGCGTGCCCAGGACGACCTGATCCCTGCCGTGGACCGCCAGTTTGCCTGTTCCTCCTGTGATCACGTCTGGTGGCGCCGTGTGCCCCAGCGCAAAGAGGTGATGCTCCCGAGCCCGACCTTGATTCTATCCCGTACTTCACTCCTGAGCCCCATCCTCAGCAGCCACCCCTCCGACCAAAGGACATGAGCCTCCGAGAGCTCGGTGGCACTTCCAACCTTGGAGCCCGACTGTGAGCTCTGATCTCAACCCATGGCACCGAGGTGGGCTCCTGACCTTGGATTTGAGAAGCCAAACTCCTGCCCAAGAGCCTGACCCTGTGCAGTTGGGCACCTACGGAGTCAAACCCGAGCCCCGACCCACCACGGCTGGCTTCTGCCCGGGGCCTGCGGGGCAGGGGGCCTGTGGTGTGCTGCTCCTCAGGGAGTGGGGCCCCGCTGTGTGCCCACTGCCCTGGTGTCCACGTTGCCGCAGTGGCTGTCATAGGCGGCCAGTGTGACCTGCTGGACGTACAGTCCAGCAGCTCAAGCACCAGCAGCCGCTGCGGTGCCACTGCACTGGCGACAACCCAGTGCCCTCTCCACACCCCAGGTGTCTCGGTGCCGGAAATGCCGCAAGCGCTACGACCCAGTGCCCTGTGACAAGATGTGGGGCGTGGCCGAGTTCCACTGCCCGAAGTGTCGGCATAACTTCCGGTGAGGGCACTGACCCCCACCCCACCCTCACTCCTGCCCCTTCCCAGTCCTGTCCCACCCTGTCCTGGCCCCAACCCCGGCCCAGCCTCGCCTTCGGACCCTCACAGCCCTGCCCGCCCCCAGGGGCTGGGCACAAATGGGGTCCCCGTCCCCCTGCTACGGGTGCGGCTTTCCCGTGTATCCAACACGGATCCTCCCCCCGCGCTGGGACCGGGACATGGACCGCCGCAGCACACACACCCACTCCTGCTCGGCCGCCGACTGCTACAACCGGCGAGGTGAGCCCCACCACTGACCGCTCGGGCAGCCTGTGCGGCCACAGCCCCACCTGCGCTCTTCTTCCTGGCTCCCCTTTCCTTGGCCCGAGTCTTGCCCATGGGGTTCTGAGGTCTCGCCCCAGTGGCCCACATCCAGGGTCCCGTGGCCTCTGTTCTGGGCTCCTGTCTTATCCCTGTAGTCCCAGCTGACCCCGTGTCCCTGGCTCTCTGTAGTCTCCATGTGCTCGGTTTCCTGCAGCTCTGTCCCCATAATCTGTGGTCCATAATCTCGGTCCCCTCCTGGCCTCCACAGAGCCCCACATGGCCCCTGCTGCCTCATCCCGAGTCTCCTGGGTCCTTGGGCTCCATGACCTCAGCTCCTCTCCCTCCCCAGAGCCCCATGTGCCTGGCACGTCCTGTGCACACCCCAAGAGCCGCAAACAGAACCATCTGCCCAAAGTCCTCCACCCCAGCAACCCCCACGTCAGCAGCGGCTCCACGGTGGCCACTTGCCTGAGCCAGGGCGGCCTCCTGGAGGACCTGGACAACCTCATCTTGGAGGACCTGAAGGAGGAGGAAGAGGAGGAGGAGGAAGAGGAGGAGGAGGAGGAGGAGGGCAGGCCCAGGGAGTGACCCCTGCGGGCGCACACACCAGACGCGGGCTCTGGATGCTCTGTGTTGTTATAAAATGTGAGCTCAAATCCGAGACAAGTGCCCTTGGGGAGCTGTCTGGGCCCGCGACACGGGTGGGGGGACTCCTGGGTCCCATTCTGGGGCTCTGGGGAGCAAATCCACAGTGGGAAAGTCCGGGACAGGCTCAGCACTGAGCCACAGAGAAGGTGCGGCCAGGACAATTTAGTCTTCTGCTGGGAAACACCCCGGGGCCAGGCGGACAGAGGCCCGGGCAGTCAGGGCCTGGCGGGTCGGATCAACATGGCGGCCTTCTTGAGGGAGTATGCCCCGCCACGGAACTCAGCCCAGTAGACACCATCCTGGTAGCGGTTTCGGTAGTGGCCACCACGGTGCCACACACCATTGAGGTTGGAGTGGGCACAGGCATGGTACCACCAGCCCCCGCGCTGGTACAAGGCGCAGTTACCTGAGGGGAAAAGAGTGGGTGTCCTCACCAGATTAAAGGAGCCTCCCCTGCACGCCACGTGCAAGGCATCTGCCAACCATCCCCTGGTCCTCCCCAGTCTTACTGAATATAAGCCCTGATCCTCCATTTCCTCTCCAAAATAAAAACCCTGGCCTCCCACTTTGTTTTTCAGAGTAATAGTCTTAATGCCTTCCCTGTCTCCTTTCCAAAGTACAAGACACACCTTTCCCACTTTTAAAATTAGTCATCATCACTTATTCCTTTATCAGGAAAAAAAATTCTTGCTTCCTTTCTAGAATAAGAGACTGGGCTGGGGTGGGTGCAGCTCTGTGGTAAAGAGCTTTCTTAGCCTGTGTGAGGTCCAAGATTTGATCCCCACCGCACCTGTGCGCACACGCACAAAAAGAGCAAGAGTGAGAAAGAATATCCTGGTTCTCACCCTATGCCCTCCAGAACAGAACAGAATCCTAATTCTTGCCTCATTAGAGAGCTAATCTAGGCTCCCCATCCCCTCATCAGAATAAAAGTCCTAGCCTTTCTTCTCTTGCTTTCCTATTCTGATACTTATCAGAGGGGAATCTTGTCCACTGCTTTTCATTCCCTACCCAGAACAGGAATCCCACCTGCCCTACCCTCCCTCCAGAATAAGAACTCCTACCGGAATAGGAGTCTCGGTCTCTATCCACGGTGCTGAAGGGTTTGTCGTTGTGCCAAGAAAGAGAATCTCCAGCGTCACCGTGGTACTGGCCAAGCCGCAGGCGATAGTGGTCGCTCTCAGGTTCCAGAGAGAAGCTATCATAGTGGGCACGTGCCCCACGGCCCCCCCAGTCCTCCAGGAGCACCAGCAGCTCGTGGTCCCCCCGGCTGGTCAGCTGATGCACAGGTTCGAGGCCCAGCCAGTATTCCCCGTCAGGCCGCCCGAAGCCCACCTGGCGAGACGGGAGAGTCGGGAGGTCAGGGACAGTGCCCTGGGCCCCCCGGCCTGCGCCGCCCGGCCCTGCCCACCTTGTAGTGCTGCCAGGTGGTGAAGAAGTTGACGGAGCCGTCCTGGCGCCGCTGGATCACCGTCCACCCTCCGCCCTCCAGCTGCTGCTCGCACCACGCAGACACGTCGAGCCGGCCCAGTCGCAGCTCGTAGACCCCACTCTGGCTGTGCCCTGCCCGGTGGGCCTCCGCACAGTCCTGCCACGGGCCTAAGGGCACAGGGATGAAGGCACAGCCGGGCCAAACAACTCCTCAGCAGAACAAGAGTCCTCCTTCTCGCTGGTCCCTTCACGAAACAGACTCTGCCCTCCCCTTCCCTCATCCAAGTAACACCAGCAGCCACTTCCTCACCTCACCTCGCAAGTCCTTCTCTCATAAGAGCAAACGTGGAGCCCAGGGCTCTTCAGTTCTGTCATCTCCTCACCAGAATATATGTCCTGAACTTAGACTCTGAACCAACTCCACTCACCCAAGCAGCAGTCCTCCACTTGCTGTCCCCTCATCAAAGTGAGAGTCCCTCCCCTCATATTTTCTCTCCTATTTTCACACCATAGTAAGAAATTTTGTCTTTATATAAGCGTTTCATTATAAGATAGAAGCAGCCTTTCCTCCAGTCCTCTCACTATGAGAAGACTCTCCCATGAAAATCTTGACTCTTCCATTTCCTTCCACCCACACTGCAATGGAGATCCCCTGGCTCCTCACACCCCCTCATTTTACCTGATGGCTTGGTGGGGATCACAAGGGACCCTGCAGGCATAGGAGAGGCCAAGGGGCTCTGTTGTCTCCGGGTCTGGTCTCTCTGGGGCTCTGGGGCTGGGTCCAGCCTCCTGCTGGTGTTATTGGTGCTGCCCACCAGACTCAAGGGCACCACAGGCACCAGGGGCGGGGGCAGGACCTGGGGCGATGGAAAAAGTCAAGTGCAATTGCATCGATGCCTAGCTCAGGAGGCATGGTCTCCTCAGGGCCAGAGAGGATGTAGACTCTCCCAGTGCCCCAACAGGAACTTGGTGGGGGACATGTCCCAGCCCTAGGACCAAATCCCCCCCTGGAGATCCTCTCTTGGTCATCAAGCACAGATAGAGCTGGGCTAAAATTCTCTTTGGTGCTGAGAGCTTAACTCAACTGCACCCCAGTCTCCTCTGTGAAGCTGGAATAACAGGAGCATGTCCTACCTGCTATTTAACGGATTCTCCCATCAACACCGTAAGATAGGGACTATCACAGAGAAACTATCTTTTATGCAAAATCCAGGGCCAGATATGTTCTAGAATTCAGAATGGCATGGCAAAATTCTGAATGACAGGGATGCACGGTCACTGGTCCTTGTACACGGTAATAATATGCTTGAGTGGAGGAGCATATGAATATTCACATTAAATGGATAAGTAAAGGCCATAAATAGCCCCCAATTATATTTTGACCCAAATAAGTAATGAAAGGAACGGATAGGAATCTCGTTTCCAGGTTTTTCGGATTTCGGAACTGCGGATAACATCGTGGGGTTGCAGAAGGCCCATTTCACAGATGATGTGCACAGCAAACAGATGCTACTGAGAAAGGCTTTCTGGTTACCTGCTGTTGCCCGCCGGCGCCCCCCGGGCACAGGCGCTCCAGGCGGGCGATGAGGTCACTCTGCTGGCTGACCAGCTGTGCCAGCTCTCGGAACTTGACGTCCAGCTGGTGGAAGCGGGCTGCGGCCTGCTGAGCCTCGGCCGACGCATTGAGCACGCGTTCCCCGAGCAGCGCCAGCGCAGCGGCAGGCTCCGCCCCCTGGCTCGGCCCCGCCCCCGTGCCGGCCTCATGCTGCAGCTGCGCGCGCAGCTGGCCCAGGCGCGCGCTCAGGCCGCGGCTCTCCTTGCGCAGCGCGCGCACCTCGCCGGCCACTGCGCCGTCGGCGGCGGCCAGCCTCTGCAGCTCGCGCAGCAGCTCCTCGTGGCGGCCGACGCGCATGCGCAGCGCCGCCACCTCGCTGGCGTTCACGGCCTCGGAAGTGGGACGTGCTGCAGCCGCTCCGCTCCAACATACGGCGCCGGTGAACTTCTGCTGGGGCAGCACGAAGGTGTAGGTGCAGCGCGGGGCGCCCGCCCGCGCCCACGACGCGCCCAGCAGGAGCAGCAGCGGCAGCGCGCGCCACCGGGGCACCGACATGACGTTCCTGCAAGCAGGGGAGGACAGGAGGCGGTTGCACCGGGAGCCCACGTCCGGCCCCCCATTCTCAGGCCGGGCGACGCACGCGGGCATGCGTGTGTCCACTCCTGCTTGGCCGCGGGTCCGGGATCCGTCTCCGTCTCTTTCTCCGAGACGCCCCAGGGCGATCCCGCTCCCGATCCGGCGCCCTGCGGTTAAAATGCCTCCTGCATTCATTCATCAAATGCTTATTGAGCGCCGACTGTGTGCCAGACTTTCTTCTAGTCGTGAGCAAAGCACAAAAGTCCCCGCCCTAGTGGGCAAGAAACAAATATAGGATTCGTAGAGTATATTAGTCAGCCGGTGCTAAGTGCTAAAAATAACGGTAGCGCGGAGCGGGAGGGATGTCAAGAGTCCACACAGGGGCTGCTTGAGAGGAGGTGGATGCGGACAGGGGAAGGTTTCCAGGAGGAGGTGACGGCAGGAAGTCGTGGGAAAGTCTGGAGAGAAGCAACCCGGGCAAGGGTAACGCAAGTGCAAAGGCCCGAGTCGCCCACGCCGGCGGTATTAAGGAAAATGTAAGGAGCTGGAGCAAAAGCAGAGGGAGGACGCTTGCTTAGCATGTGCAAGGCCCGGGGTGCCGTCCCAGCACCTCAAAAAAAAAAAGCAGAGGAAAGTGGGTGGTGAGATGGGGGAGGGGCAAGTCTGGTAACAAAGCCCTCCCCCTCCAACCCAGAGGGAGCACATCTGCTTCCCTTCATAACAGACCCAGGCCTCGCCAAGCCTGTGCGCCTCTGTTTAGATCCTGAATTCCTCCAGCCCCCTGCCCCCTCCCAGGGTCCCAGCTCATGACACCACCTGGCTTTCCTTACAGCAGCTGCCCCCCCGCCCCCGGTTTCCAGCACTCTGCCCTCAGCAGCCAGTGGACACCTTGACCTCAGGAATCTGTTCCTATCCTTCCTCTACTCAACCTTCAGTAGTTCCCACCTCACTTAGCGTGAAAGCCCTAGTCCTCCCAGTGACACACTCGGCCTCGTCCCCTCCCTGCCCTCACCGCCTCCAAAGCACCCAGGAACAGCACTTGGCCAGATCCTGCCTCAGGGCCTTGGCATTTGCAATTTGCTCCACAGGCAACATTCTTTCTATTTTAACGTGCCCCCCCCCCCCATCCTGGTTCAGGTCCCACTAGATCTGGGCTGCACTCCCTGTCACTCTGTGTTTTTCAGTTTTATTCCCCACTCTTGCTACTTATTTGCATACCCCCACTGCATTCCCTGGGGTTTCTGGGGTTTCCTTGGCTGCCTTATCCTGTGCCTAAAATAGTGCCTAGCACTCCTCCCCAGGCCCCAGGCCCCCAGGTGTTCCAAGTGCTCCTGCAGGTGAGCTCAGACAGGATCTTTGCTGGCAAATGGATACTTGTGGCCACCACCCTGGCCCTGCCAGAGCCACACCTATGCCCTCCTCACCTTCATCTCCAGGCCCACCAGGGTTCACACCTTTGCAGTCTCAGAAGGGGACATGCATGCCTGTGTGTGCTTACTGACCCTTGGAACCTGCACGCCTATCCACCCCATCTGCCCAAGTGCCTGTTTGTGTGGCAACAGGGACACAGCCTCAACCAAAACACAGAATCTCTGCCCTCCTGGATCTGATAGTGTCCTTGGGAAAACTATGGAATACTCCACAGGGAAGTCAGAGCAATGGAGCTTAGGAGGAAAATCAGATAAGAAGAGGGAGAGTCTGGAGCTGGGGAGAAGGGACTTAAAGGGAGGGGTCAGGAAAAGTCTCACTGAAAAGGCGACACTTGCGCAAAACCTGAAGGAAGAGAGAATGGGAACAGCAGGGGAAGCTCCTGAGTGTGGAACAGAGTGAACAAGAGGGAGAGCAGAAAATGAAGGCAGAGAGGTAGCAGGACATAGGGTGCACAGTATTTGGGGCCTTGAGGAGGACTTGGGGTTCAACTCTGAGTCAGGGGGGCCAGGAAGGGTTCTGAGTGGTGGAAGGGCCCATTTGCTATTGTACTGACACATCAAGAAAGAGCTGTCAGGGTCGGGAGGGTCTTCTCTTGCCCTTTCCAACACTCAGTCTCCCACAACAGGAATGGACCAAATCCCCGGGAGCTGGAATGTGTGCAAAACCCAGCGCCTTTCATGGTGTCAGCCTGGGGTGGTGAGCAGGAGGCTTGGGAGCCTCCTCTGCCCAGCCAAGCAGAGGCCAGGGTCTCCTGACAAAGAGAATCCGCATCCATCTGCACTCCCACCTCTCACCTCTCACGACCAAGACCCTGAATCCAGCGAAGCTCACAGCAGGCACAAGAAGTCAGAGGAAAAGCCGAGGGTCCAGGAGGGCCTCTGAGCTAAGGAAGGGGAGAGGCTGGTGAGAAAGAAGGAGAGAGAAGACTTGGTAACCACCCCCGGCCCCCAGAATCTGGGAGTGGAGCAACTGTAAATATTTAGCCTTTCCCACGTGAGAACTGAGGCAGAATTGCCAGACCCCCCTGCCCAGGCCACCAGAGCCTGATAACACAGGTCAGTGCCCTGGACGTCCTTTCTCTTCCTCCCAGTGGAGCACAGAGCGTGGGAGGCTGCAGGCACTGGTAGGACCTGCAGGATCCCAGCCCCAGACACACATCCCACATAGAAGGATAATGATGGAGAGCATCAGTGGGCACCTACTGTGTGTCCGACGCACCTCTAAACTCTATACCTTTTATCTCATTTAATCCTAGAAGCCCACTCCAGATTCTCTGTGTAGCATCATTTTAGAAAAGGGAAAAAGTTCAGAGAGGGTGAGCCACTTGCCTGCAATCAAGCAGCCAGAAAGGGATCACAGGGGATTCAGCCCAGTAGCTTGGCTCCTGAACTCACACATATAACACAACAGTCACATGCATGTGCACAACAAAACAAAGACACACACACTCGTGCCGTTACCCAACAAAACTGACAAAGTACTGCACAAAGCAGCAAAGATAGACAAATGAAGTTCATGTACACATGACTACTAGTTCATCTGGCACACCCACAAAGACAACGAGGGCTAGGGACATTGCTCAGTGGATTCCCTCCCCAGCACCATAAAAAAAAAGAACAAAAGACACAAGAAACACAACGAAGATCTAGGCAACAATTGTATGTTCAAAATATGGCCACACAGGCACACATCCAGTGAAACTCAAAGGGAAATATCCACGGGTTGTGGGTCCGGGTCTGCACCTCAGACATGAACACGCCAGGTACAAGTGGCCACACACAGGCAGCACAGAGACACCAAGCCGGCACACAGCAACGCCCAGATGCCCATCTGCCAAACCATGAATGTTTGTCCCTCATTCACTGGGTCACATTTTCACAAAAGTCAAATCACACAGGGACAGAACAGGAGGAAATAACCATGCAGTCATTTCTCAGAGGTAGAAAGAGATTCGTGCAGAGCCCCCCCCCCCCCCAGCCGGCCGGGGCCTCTGACCTGTATGAAGGCCCTGCCGGCCAGCAGCCCAGCACCGGGGGAGCAGCCTCCTTCCCCACTTCCAACCGTCCTGAACTCCTGGAGTAACCCGAGTGGACTCCGGGGCTGCAAGAGGAAATGGTTGTCCCAGATCTGAGTGAGGCTGCCAGGCTGGGCTCTGGGCCGGGGCTGGGCCCCCCACCCTCAGCCCCCGCTGGCTCCCCATTGGCAGCAGAGAGAGGAGAAACCTCCTAAGTCACAGACAGACTGAGGGAGGGAGAGAGGCCACCGAGTGGAGAGACCTGGGGAGAAGGGAGAGACAGGGAAACGATGGAGAGGAGAGGGGAAAGCTGGAAACCCACTGATGATGGAGACGACCGATGTTGGAGGAAAGGGAGGCCGAGATGGGAGGACAAAGGATGGGGAGGGGGCAGGGGCTGGGGGAGCCGAGAGAGGGCCTGGGCGGGTGGCCTCCCCTCCCAGGCGAGGTTTTGGGGGAAAGCCAGAGGCTGAGGCCAAGACCCGGGCTCTGGGTGGAAGAGGGCGGGGTGGACTATTCACGAAGCGCCCGCCGTGCCCAAAGTCTCCGGAAGTTGAGGTGGAGTTTCCATCCTCAGCCCATCGGCCGACAGGACGAGAATGAAAAACCGCCATGGCCCGATTCCCTCTCTGGCTCCTCCCGAGTGCCTGGTGCCATGGTGTCAAAGCATTGTGTGCACATTCCGTCTCTTGGCTCGCAGCCCAGGGCAGACAGTTCCACCCTCACTTTGGGGTACTGCAGGATCCTCGAAGTGGAGATGTAATGGCGCCGCTGGACGAAATGGGCCCGGGCGGGATTCGAACCTGTGGATAGGCTTCTCCGCCGCCCGGAGCTGTTCAACCCCGCCCTGGTTTCCATAGAAACAGGCACCGGTGTCTCCATAGCAACCCCTCCAAAGATTTCCTACTCCCCGCCCCCGCTCCCCTCGAGGCCACTTAGTGCGCAGGCCCGCCCGATGACGCCATCGGCTCCGGCGCCGGAAGTGAGCCGCGCGGCGCCGGAAGTGGCCGGCAGAGGCGGCCTCGTGGAATAGACGGCAGCATGGGGCAATCGGGGAGGGTATGGCGCGGCGGCCGAGGGTGCGGGGAGTACCGGCGGGGTCCCGGCGGAGGCCGCGGCGCTCACCGTCCGTCTGTCGCCCCCTCAGTCCCGGCACCAGAAGCGCGCGCGCGCCCAGGCGCGGCTCCGCAACCTCGAGGCTTACGCCGCGCAACCGCACTCGTTCGTGTTCACGCGGGGCAGCGCGGGTCGCAGCGTCCGGCAGCTCAGCCTGGACGTGCGTCGGGTTATGGAGCCGCTCACCGCCACCCGTCTGCAGGTCTGCCCAGCCAGCCCGCCTCTACCCACCCTGGGCCGTCATCGCGGCTGAGGGCCGGCTCTGTGAAACCTCGGGAGGCCGCTGTGTCCCGACTGGAGAACGGGACCTACCTGAGGACAGGGTCTCTGCATCTAGCTTGGGGCTTAGTTGGGCAGCGGGGACAGCAAAGCGTAGCTTCTCTGAAGGACCTGGGGCAAGGCTTCACTGGGCTTCTGA